ATGCTGACTGGCTCCAGTATCAACAGTGGGATATGAGCCAATGTAAGATATGGTTCTTACATGGGATTGTTGAGGCCAAATGAAGGCAACCACAAAAATACTGGACAAGGAAGGGCGAAAGCAAAAACAGGAAAATAAGCACAAGAAAAATTCTATTCAAGAAGAGCATGAAAAAATTCTTACATATGTGAAGAAATTAAAAACATGAAAGATGACCGATATAACTAATGTTGGGGAGAGGAACCTCCTGCAGATGAAATTAAAATAGAGCAACCTGATGATGACATCAAAAACTGTTTGAGACCCCCAGGTGCAGTGGTGCACACCTGTAATCCCAGAGATTAGGAGGCTGAGGCAGGAGAATCACAAATTTGCAGCTAGTCTCAGCAACTTAGCAAGGCCCTAAACAACTCAGTGAGACCTTATCTCAAAATAAAAAAGAGGGCTGGGGCTGTAGCTCAGTGGAAGAGCATTTGGCTATCATGTGTGAGGCACTGGGTTCAATTCTCAGCACCACATAAAATAAATGAAATAAAGGTCCATTGAAAACTAAAGAATATTTTTTGAAAAATAAGATAAAAAATAAAAAAGGGCTGAGGATATAGCTCAGTGGTAAGGTGCCTCTGGATTCAATCCTCAGTACCAAAAAAAGCAAAAAAAAAAAAAAAAAAAAAAGTTCTGGATTCTCCAATAGCTAAAGAAAATCAGAACACACATCATAAAAGAAAATAATAATAATAAATTAAAAACAAGTGTAATATAAAAATAGAAAAACTGATTAGCAAAATTGAAAGACTAGGATAAAGATTTTCTAGAAGATGTGAAAGTATATAGGCAGATGTTAGTGGAAGATGGGAGGAAAGAGGAATCAAGGAACAAAAACAATTTTTCAAAAAAATTCAAGAACTATGTGTATATAATCCCATTTAAATAAAATTGCCTTGACCCTTACTTCACTATATTCATAAAAATTAAGATGGATCATAGATCTAGAAATAAAACTAGAACCTAAATAAATAAATAAAATTGCCAACAGGTGAAGAAATTACCAATTAAAAACCATGAAGGTAAACTATATATTGTTGAGTGAAAAAAACATTGACAAAACACAACGTATTATGTAATATTTATATAAGAAAGCAACTTAAAAACTCCTGTGCTATCTGTGTACAAATGCACTAATAAAAACATAAAATTGGATATACCAAACTCCTAACAGTAGTTGCCTATTTGAAGGTGTATGTGATCAGGTAGCCTTAGGAAAAGAGGCTATGGTATATTATCATTTCCTAATTGTTTAAAATTCTTAATTATGTTAATTTTTAGGATAAACTTATATTTATTAAAGACACAAAAACTAACTATAGAGCCAGGCAATGGTGACACAGGCCTGTAATCCCAATGACTCTAGAGGCAGAGACAGGAGGACTGCCTTTGAAGTCAGCCTTAGTAATTTACAGAGGCCTTCAGAAACTTAGCAAGACCCTGTCTTAAAAAATAAAAAGGGCTGGGGATGTAGCTCAGTGGTAAAGTGCCCCTCGATTCAATCCCTAGTATCAAAATAATAAAAACATAACTATAAAAATATTTAAAATACAACCACAATTTAAAACAAAGTTTGATCTATGCCAGTTCATCCGGAGGATTTCCACCATAAATTTGAGTTATAAGACTAAATTGTAGATAACCTGATGTATGAATCACTTTTATGTAAAATAAATTATGCCCCCAAATTATCCAGTTTATACATGCTCCTATAAAATTATATGTTCAGAGAAAAATGGTCTCATACCAGCTTAACTTTCAATATCTAAAGGAGTGGCAGATGAGAAGGGAGAGAGGACACCAAAACAAAAAGAAAAAAAAAATAGAACAGTATCCTTGATTTTAAAAGGAGAATAATATGAGCTCATCTATACAAAAATTTTTGCATTAATATTTCTTGCATGCACTTGATCTTAGTGTTGGAGCACGCCCCCTTAGCCTTGAGTAATGGGGGGTGGAACTGGCTATGGGAGGCAAGTGGGCCTCACCTTGGCAAGGAAGTGTAACTCAGGATTTGGGCGTCACCCAAGGGGAYTGGGCTTGTTTGTTGTAACACAATCCCTTGCCTTATTTGGGTGGAATTTTCTATCAAATGTCTTTCCCCTAAATAAAAACAGGGATTGGGGTGTGCTTGCTCTCTTGCCTCTTGCTTCCCTTACTTCCCTTGCCCTCCAATGTGGGAGCTGACACCTGAGGTCTCAGAGCCATCCCTGATCCCCGAAAAACATATTTCTTGTTTGTGTAGTCTTTTCGTTGCCAGCCCAATTCACACAGAGGGACCCTGACTCCATTGCCTGCGCAGGACATGGGCAATAGTTGGCGCCCAGAACAGGGACATTCTGCGTGAATTTCAGGCATTTGGTAGGTGTGGCTTTCTCTCCAATAGTAAGAAGCGTGTATATATTTGCAGAGTATTGTGGATTGGTTTGTGAAAGTGAGAGGAGGGAGGAAAGTGAGTGGACATAAAAAATAAAATAAATTATGGGGAATTCTTTGTCTTCAGAGAGAGAAATCTATTTTGCAATTCAGAAGAAGACAATCAAGGGAAGGTGAGGCCCACTTGCCTCACTGCATGTGATTCCACACCCCCATTACTCAAGGCTAAGGGGACATGCTCAGCTCCTATTCAGGGCAGCCTGACAAGTTAGGACATAGAGAAGTGAGAGCTTAAGATATGGGAAAAGGGGAGGGGCAACAATAATRAATAGAAATGATATCAGTAAGTGGTAGACTAAAATAAAGCAGGTGGAGGTGATAGAATATGACCATAAGGGTCATAAGGGAATTTGACACAGGCTCTCTGGGAAGATCCTCTGATGAGGTGATAGTTTGATAGAAAATTGAAAGAAATGAGAGAGTTGGGCAGATAGTTTCAGAGAGAAATGTGTTTCAGGTAGAGGAAGCAGCAAGCCTGAAAGTCACAGGACTACTATGAGCTTGGAACATCCTGGAACAGCAAGGATGCTATTGTGATTGAAGCACAATAAGCAAGGATAAGAGTGAGAAAAACACCAGGGTCAGAGATGATATCAGAGAAGCAGCCAGGGACCAAATCACTGGGGAGCTCCTAGAACAGGTGAAGTGTAATGCAAGAAACTGGAGGGTTTTTAAGTAAGAGGTAAGAACCTGATTTTGCTTTAAAAGAATTCTCTGGATATGGTATAAAAARTAGGACTGAAAAGGAGACTAGTAAGGAAACTATTACAGTAGTCCTACTAAGAGGATATGATGAGGGCTGAGGATGTAGCTCAGTGGTAAAGTATTTGCTTAGCATACTCAAGGCCTTGGGTTCAATCCCCAGAGAAAGAGAAAGCCTATGATAAACAGAACAAAAGTACTAAGAGGTAGATTTGGTGAGTGGCAGCTGGATTTGGAATGTTTGTTTCAAGATAAAGGCTGCAGGATCTGCTAGCGGTTTAAGGGTGTAGATATCAAACAATTTTACTTCTAATTCTGGTGACATGTTAAAAATGTGATTTAAACTATTTTGCTTGTTAATGTTTTCAAATATGCATACATTATTTATATGATTAAGAAAAACAATACATTTTCCAAAAGATATACACTAATTAATCCTTTCCTTACTTTTGAGATTAGAAGGATATGACACAGAAGATTTTTATACTAATGCTATGTAACCAGAATGTTGGGAGTAAAATCACATATACCTTCAAATGATCCTTTAAGTAAGTCTGTATTCCCTCCTAGATAAAAAGGTTACCAGGTTTCTTTAGATAAAAATTAACTGTATCTAAAAAGAGATACTTCAGTATATTTTAAAGAAACAAATTTCTTTTTTTTTTTTTATAAATATTTATTTTTTAGTTATSGACGGACACACATCTTTGTTGGTATGTGGTGCTGAGGATCGAACCCGGGCCGCACGCATGCCAGGCGAGCGAGCTACCGCTTGAGCCACATCCCAGCCCCTTAAAGAAACAAATTTCAATTACTGTTTTTATGCTGTGCAAAATCAAAACAAATACATGTCAATCACTGTATTTCGAAACTACCCATATTTGGTGAACCATGATAATTGATTAAGCATTAAGTTCTAGGTCAGTTTTTAAAAGTCAAACTGTGAGTTTTGTGATTTTAATCAACTTCAGAACAGTTTCTAATACTTGTACTTGTCCTTCTCAGTTTATCCTGCTGGTTTAGGAGATTTGGGAAATTGGGGGAGGGGAGAGAGAGGTGTGAAAAAAAGAGTTCAGAATTCAAGAAAGACAGGGTATTTCAAGCCATGAGCATAACTATTTCAATCAAATAAATCAAGGGTTTTGCTAGGTTCCTCCCCCCCCCCCAATAATTGTTCAGAAATGGCATTTTTGAGTGCCAAAGGAAATTTCAAAAAGTCTGTTAGGAAGATTGCTAAAGTTTTAAAATGTGAGAATAGACATTTAAAAATATGTATGACTCATATTTTTAGCAATGTCAGCTCTAYTGCTGCATTTCCATATGTTTATTTGTATTGATTTTATTTATCTGTGTTTTAAGGGAGACATCTAAGTGGAAATAAAACTAGGTTCAAAGGTACAATAAATACCTATCTCTTAAGTTCAGTGTAATTTTATTTATTGGATTTTATTTTGTAAACAAGGATAACTTTGTTTAATAGTATAACTTTGACTGTAATGCAAAGAACAGACGGTAACAGCAATTAGAGACAGGGTTATTATAATAAAATTAGAAATGGGCATGTGTTATAGTAATCTAGGTCAGGAGAAAGCTTTATAAAGTCTAGATTCCTGGGTCTAGCCCTGGAGATTCAAAGACAGCAGGTTTAGAGCAAATTCTCAGAATTCTGAATGAAGAGTAAAATATGAATGACTGGTAGTTAAGTTTAAGTATCAAAGGAAGACATCTTTGATGCTGTACCTTTAGAAGAACAGCAAGAACTTAATAAAAATCACAAGCTCATGCTTCATTTTTACCATAAATGAACACTGCCTTACCTGAATCAGGATCATATTTTAGATCCAATGGAGATACAACAGGTCGGTACTGTTTCTGCAAATAGCATAAATAAAACAGACAATTTAATCATATAATGTCTCACGTAATGTCTTTCAACTAATGTAAGAAAATATACTATGTAATCAATAATACCGTTTTTTAAGGGGGAAAAATATATTTTAGATCCTGAAATCTGTAGGAAAGAGAGGAAAAAAGGTGAGGTCAGGAAGTCCAATTTATATCTTTTATAGTACTGCCACCTGCTGCATACACTAAGAAATAGCACCATAAAAACAGGTATAATCAGAAAAACCAATCAAGTAAATTAAAAACAGAGACTGAATGTTTTGTTTAAGGTACAGGGCAGTCTCCAAATTATGAATAACTGCATTTCAAAAGTTCATTTAGGAAAACTCAAAATTCGTATTTCCAGAGAAATGCCATTCTAAATGATAGTTGAGCTACCATATCATCACACTAAAATCTATATATCCTATGTTAACACTTGAACTACTTTAGAACTATTGGTAATTCCACAGTTCAGGCAACAAGAAAGAGGAAAATATTTCTTCTTATTCCTGCCCAAAGCCAAAAGGAGCAAAAAGAATTTAAAAAATGGAATAAAGTTTAAAAAAGAAAGAATTCTTTAGTGTCTTCACTCCATCCATTTTACCTCACTTTTAAACAAGTACAGTGGGTACATCACCTAGGCAAGGAGGGAGACAGTAGAAAATACACACGCTTAGAATGTTTTTCTCAAGAAATTTTAAAGTGGTAACGGATTAGGTATTTGAAGAATAACTGCTATGGAAGAAAAAGAGAAACGATCTCCTTATAATTTTTTTTTCATAGAATGATGTTTTAAAGTATTTAAGTGTTTTAAAGTATTTAAGTGTTTTAAAGTATTAAGCCCAGTCTTTAATGCCCTAGAACAATCCCTGAAAGGGAAAAGACTAGAAGACTTACATGCAAAAGTATGCTGATTTCAAATACTTAAGGCAAATAGTATAGAATAATCTAAAAGCAGCAAAAATTTCGTATTCAATGGGCAATGCCACTTCCAATAAACCTTCCACAATCCCTAAGGTAACATTTAGATCTAATTTGCTTTGTGGACTTATTTTGTATTTATTCCAGTCCTAATAAATCTGAAAGATGAAGGTATAATACAGTTAATACTAACATTTACAGTAATTGGAAGAAGCAAGCCTATCATTCTGCCTATCTAAAGAAATCAGTCTGAAGGAGTTGACTTCCTGATCTTATGACCCAGATGGTTGAGTTTTAAAGCAAAAAAAAAAAAAAAATTATACATAATTCATAAAGCAAATTTGGAATTTCAGCGTTATAAATAAGTACTCAAATCATTTTCTCCACCAATTTAACTAAAGGGTTATTCCAAAATACACAACCATATACAAATAATATTCCAAATACAAATAAGAACTAGAAAACAGTTAAAAGATAAATTTCCTTTCCCTTCCTGGTCTCAGAATCATTAAGTCATCATCAGGCTTCCATCTCCAATTTCAATTTTAACATCACCAGTGTTCCACACCTCATACGACTTAGATCAGGAATAAGTCTTAAGAGACAAATAGTACTGATTAAGACAGGAAAGACAAAGAGAACAAAATATCATCTATCTCCATGTGGTTCACATATTTTATTTTTTTATTGTGGTAAAATATACATAAAAATTAAATAAATCATCTTACCAGAGCTTCATGTTGTGCCTTTAAGGTTTTGATGACACATTCAAGGATCTTTCTGGGATACTGCTTACGTTTTGTTGCTATATCTACTATGACTTCATCAAACTGATCTTCAAGTACTTTGATGTCAGAATCTATTTCAGAAAAAAATAATAACTAAAAGAAGTTCTTAAAACTCACTATATATATTAGTATGGAAAATTGTTATAAGTAAATTAAATTTAGAAAACACAAATAACTAAAGAAAACATATATGGCAAGTTAATAGACACTCCTACTTTGGTGATTAATTAATTTACTCATTCAACAATCCTTTTTTTTTTTTTTTTAGTACCAGGGATTGAACTCAGGGGCACTTGACCACTGAGCCATAACCCCAGTTCTATTTTATATTTTATTTAGAGACAGGGTCTCACTGTGTTGCTTAGCGTCATGCTTTTGCTGAGGCTGGCTTTGAGGCGTGTGCCACTGCACCCAGCTGAACAATCCACTTTTGAGCACCAATAGGAAGTCAGGCCTAAACCAGAGAAATATAAATGTTAACCTAATATGATCCCAAGAAACAGATAACTGCAATTGATAAATCAACAGAGGTATTAGCAAAATGTCATCAAAACACAGAAAATGAAACACTAACTATATCTGGAGTTTAAGACTTTTAAAAGGAAGTAATATTTGAGCCTGGCTCAGTGGTACAGTTTTGTTATTCCAGCAACTCAGGAGACTAAAGCAGGAGGATTGTGAGTTCAAGGCCAGCCTTGGCAACTTAGCAAAAAAATATAAAGAGCTGGGGATATAGCTTGGTGGTAGAGCACTCCTGGGCTCATTCCTAATACAAAAAAGAAATAACATTTGAGCTCAAAATATAACTGTAAATCCACTGGATAAAAATGGTAGGGGAAGGCTGAAGATATAGCTCAGTTGGCAGAGTTCTTGCCCAGCAATCACAAGGCCCTAAATTCAATCCCCAGAGCCAAAAAAAAAAAAAAAAGGAAAGAAAAAAATGATAAGGAAACGCATTTTTGGCAGAGGAAAACAGTATTTGTAATAGCACAGAGTCTTGAGAAACAGAAAAATTCTAAATGCCTGTGGAATGAACTAAAGGTAAAAAGGATGAAAAATATTTAAGAACTAGACTGTAGGGCTGGGGTACAGCTCAGTGGTATAGCAAGTACTTAGCATGCAAGAGGCCCTGGATTCAATCCCCAGCACTAAAAAGAAACACAAAAACAAACAACAACAAMAAAAAAAACCTTAGACTATAAAGGACATTTAGTATCAGAGATATCCACAAGTTATTAAWGTGATTATCCTCACATAAAAATAAAAAAATCTTAAAGAGTAATATACCACATAAAAATAAATTAATAAAAATAAAGGTATTAAGAAAAAAACTTTTGCAGAACTCATAATCAACTTGTCTTTATGAGTGCAAAAATTTTGATTCAGTATGTACATAGGGCCCAGAAATGACACTCTACATGAAATGAGTTCAGGTGCTGATCAACTTTATTCTGAAAATAATTTTGAAGAGTAAAAACACTAAGTAGTTATGAATCCTAAAAAACTAGGTCCTCAGCTTACTTGGTTTACATTAGATGTGTTCTGTTGTGTCAAAATCTGTTAAAAATGGATCTATTTGGGGCTGGGGTTGTGGCTCAGTGGTAGAATGTTCATCTAGCATGCGAGAGGCACTGGGTTCAATCCTCARCACCACATAAAAATAAAATAAAGGTATTGTGTCCCCCTATAACTAAAAAATAAATATTTWWAAAAAATGGATCTAGGGGCTGGGGTTGTAGCTCAGTGGGGAGAGTGTTTGCCTAGCATGTGTGAGGCACTGGGTTCGATCCTCAGCTCCACATAAAAATAAAATAAATAAAATAAAGGTATTTTGTCTGTCTACAAAAAAATTTTTAAATGGATCTATTTATTTTATTAAGTAGAAACTTTGTTATAAAATTTGAAACAGCATGTATATTATTTGAAACATTCTGAGAAACTGCTGATATATGTCAGCATATACATCCATATCAGGTAAAGATTAATGAAGTACATCAGGTATGCTCTTTCATTCATGTAATGAATATTTGTTGAATCCAAATAAATTACTTCTTTAGAGAGTATTATGAGAGAGACATTTCTTACTTAGAATACTTATTTATAAATAAGCAGCTCTAAATTTTAACATATCCATTAAAAAAGTTAAATCACTAACTAGAAAAGAATAATGTACACAACCAGTTTAAAAAAAAAAGTCTCCCAGCTAAACCTTTGTAGGGAAGGAAAATGGTCTCTTAATGCCACCTAAGGATAAAAAAGCTGCAAAATTGAAACATGTAAACAAATTTGAACAGAGAATTATTCATTAATTTAACAAACACTTAACAGGGACCTATAAGGTGCCAAGTTGAAAAATATGAGAAAAACAAATATAGTTCCTGCTCTCAAGGAACTTATGTTCCAAACATTAAATCTAACTGATCCTCCTGTAACTAAGTCAACTCAGGGTAGTAACAGAGGAAGGGAAGAGGTTGGTTTCACTTATATATTCATTCATTCATTCCTTTGTTCCTTCACTTATTTACATAAGGATCTCAAGTGCCCGATCCTAGAAATCTTAGTCAACAAAACAGACAAAAAACTTCTGCCCCAGGGGCTGTGGTTATGGCTCAGTGGTACAGCGCTTACCTAGCACCTGTGAGGCAATGGGTTCAATCCTCACCATCACATTAAAATAAAGGTATTGTGCCCATCCACAACTGGAAAAAAAATAATAAACTTATCTTGCTAAGGGTTGCTTTAGCTATTCTGGATCTCTTATTTTTCCAAATAAATTTCATGACTGCTTTTTTTTTTTATTTCTATGAAGAATGTTATTGGGATTTTAATAGGCATTGCATTAAATCCATATAACGCTTTTGGTGGTATGGCCATTTTGACAATATTAATTCTGCATATACAGGAGCATGGGAGGTCTTTCCATATTCTGAATTTTTCTTCAATTTCTTTCTTTAGTATTCTGTAGCTTTCATTGTAGAGGTCTTTCACCTCTTTTGTTAGATTGATTCTCAGGCTTTTTTTTTTTTTTAAGGCTATTGTGAATGGAGTAGTTTTCTAATTTTTCTTTCTGTGGTTCATCGCTGATGTATAGAAATGCATTTAATTTGTGGGTGTTGTTTTTATATCCTGCTTCTTTGCTGAATTCATTTACTAGTTCTAGAAGTTTTCTGGTGGGAATTTTTTGGATCTTCTAGGTATAGAATTATGTCATCAGTAAATAGTGATGAGTTTGAGTTCTTCTTTACCTCTTTGTATCCCTTTAATTTCTTTCTTTTGTCTAATTGCTCTGGCTAGAGTTTCAAGGATGATGTTGAATAGAAGTGGTGAAAGTGGGCATCCTTGTCTTGTGCCAGTTTTTAGCAGGAATGCTTTCAATTTTTCTCCAATTATAATGATGTTGGCCTTGGGTTTAACATATATAGCATTTATAATGTTGAGGCATGTAAAAACTACTAACCCTAGTTTTTCTAGTGTTTTGAACATGAAGGTGTGCTGTATTTTGTCCTATGCTTTTTCTGCATCTATTGAGATGATCATATGATTCTTGTTTTTAAGTCTATTAATATGATGAATTACGTTTATAGATTTCTGTATGTGGAACCAACCCTGGCATCCCTGGGATGAATCCCATTTGAATGTGGCGCACTATCTTTTTATATGTTTTTGTGTGTGATTTGCCAAAATTTTTTTGAGAATCTTTGCACCTATGTTCACCAGGGATATTGGTCTGAAGTTTTCTTTCCTTGGTGTTTCTTTGTCTGGTTTTGGTCTCAGGGTTGTATCAACCCCATAGAATGAGTTTGGAAGGGTTCCCTCCTTTCCTATTTCATGGAATACTTCAAAGAGTATTGGTGTTAATTCTTGTTTGAAAGTCTTGAAGAACTCAGCTGAGAATCCATCTGGCCCTGGGCTTTTCTTGGTTGGTAGGCTTTTTTTTTTTTTTTTTTTTTTTTTTAAAGAGAGAGAGAATTTTTTAATACTTATTTTTTTAGTTTTTGGCGGACACAACATCTTTGTTTGTATGTGGTGCTGAGGATCGAACCCGGGCCACATGCATACCAGGTGAGTGTGCTACCACTTGAGCCACATCCCCAGCCCGGTTGGTATGCTTTTGATGGTGTTTTCTATTTCATTACTCGAAATTAATCTGTCTAAATCATGTATGACCTCCTCATTCAGTTTTGGTAAGTCATATGTCTCTAGAAATTTGTCAATGTCTTCAATATTTTTTATCTTATTAGAGTATAAATTTTCAAAATAGTTTCTAATTACCTTCTGTATTTCGGACATGTCCATTGTGATATTTCCTTCTTCATCTTTTAGTAATTTGAGTTATCGTTTTTCTCTTCATTAGCATGGCCAAAGGTTTACCTATTTTATTTATTTTTTCAAAGAACCAACTTTTTGTCAATTTTTTTCCATTGTTTTTGTTTTGATTTCATTGATTTCAGCTCTGATTTTAATTATTTCCTGTCTTCTACTGCTTTTGGTGTTGATTTGTTCTTCTTTTTCTAAGGTTTTGAGATGTAGTATTAGGTCATTTATTTGTTGACTTTTTATTCTTTTAATGAWTGCACTCAATGCAATAAACTTTCCTCTTTGTACTGCCTTCTTAGTGCCCTGGATATTTTGATATGTAGTATCAGTGTTCCCGTTTACCTCTAAGAATTTTTTTATTTCATCCTTGATTTCTTCTACTATCCATTCATCATTCAATTGTGTATTATTTAGTCTCCATTTGTTACAGTAGATTCTATTTTTTTATTTTATTGTTAATTTCTAATTTTATTCCATTCACAATACCCAACCTTAAACTATACTACAGAGCTATAGTAACAAAAACAGCATGGTATTGGCATCAATACATTCTATACTATTGGTCTACATCTACTATGTAGACCAATAGTACAGAATAGAGGACACAGAGACAAACCCACATAAATACGGTTTTCTCATAGTAGACAAAGGTGCCAAAAACATTCACTGAAGAAAAGATAGCCTATTCAACAAATGGTGCTGGCAAAACGGAAATCCATATGTAGCAAAATGAAATTAAACCTSTCTCTCTCGC